GTGCCGTAGACATCTCTTACTGAGACTCTGTGCTCACCCCTTCCATTATCATTTTTCAGGTTAAAATGATGATGCGGTAGATAACGGACCCTCACATGCATAATTAGGGTTGACGGGAGTATTTTTCATTAATTTTGTAGCTAATGCGTAGTATATATAAATTCAATTATAAATCACTGTATTTATAACCATAAGGGTCTAAATTTATAATTATATTCTTTTAGGCATATTTGGTATATTTTGGGGATGTAATTAAATTTAATTTTATTTAATCCTTGGATATATGTTATGTATTTCATAGCATATGTGAATGAATACGCCTAAAATTTTATAATGTGGTTTTGTTTGAATGTATATGAGGAAGGGATTTATTTGGAGTATTTTAACGTAAGTGTATTTATATATATTCGTTTAATGGCATTTTAGCAATGTAATTGTGCTGGTTTAGTGGTTGTATTGTGGGGTGGTTGTGTACAATTTGGTTTATCAATTCAAAGAAGCAAATATTACAGGCTTAGGAAGTTTCGGCCGATGTGCAAGTACCTATACGTCGACCGGTATCTCTTATTTTTGGGTAGTGTACAATTACATGACCTGTCGATATGTCGTCGACATCTGAGACCCACACGTCGACCGAATGACCTAAACCAGTAGACGTATAGGAGTTAGGCGTTGACCGGTTCCTGTGTGCTTTCCCCTTGTCATTTATTTTCCATTTTTGCCATTTCCCACTCACTCAAGTATATTGTTACACACTATGTGACCCAATATAATATATTAATTATATTTTAACCACGGAAATGACTGTATTAGCCCCGAACATCATCTTATTCATTGTATGACTTGAGTAAATGATTATTGTACTATTTTGGGTTTTAAACCATTATAATTATTTTAAATGATCATTTTGGCCTTATTGTGCTTTAAAGAAGTAATTTAACGTGAAATGACCGTGTTACCCTCGGATGACTTCGGGTCTGGTAAGGACCCGATTAGCGATCCGGATCCAGCGGATTTGGATTATTATAAAAGATGTGTCCAATGTCATAATGGCATGTAATAACTAAACCAAAGCTTCCTTGGGAGTCCATGGCCATTTTCTAGGAATAACTCGATCAATCGAGTTGATACTCGAACGGTCGAGTCCTACACATTTAAAAAAATATGAGAAAATAAAAAATTACATGCTCTCTGTCCCATTGTTCGAGTTTGAACTTGATCGATCGAGTTGGAACTCAAATGACTGAGCATTCTTGCTTTGTGTTTACTAATTGTTAACCCAAACTTCAAATAGTCATAAATTCCTCATTTTTAACCCAAATTGGGTCGTTCTTAAGTCTAAACTAATCGGCTCAAAGTCAGATTTCCAATGATACAAACCCCATCCTCTAATTCCAATCACACCAGGAGTTATAGCTATTTTAGGGAAGTAGTGTCAAAAAATTTTCTAACCGAATATGGGTATTTGTGGGAAATCTTGATCATAGCCACCAAATCCCTATAGAATGGGTTTTGTTGATTAATATGATTAAAATAAAATTCATTTGGCTCACTTGGAATCAATTCATCTTTCATCCTTTGTGTAAAATGACCGTTATACCCTTAGTTTGTCCTTGGGATCGGTTAAGAACCCGTAACCGGATCACTGTCGTTAATGACTTGATCCATCGGGTTTAGGTCGTTACAAAAATTTTAAAACAATTTAAGTAATTTCTTAATTTTTAATGAATATAGTGCATGAAAAATAAGGTATTTTTTATTTAAGTAATTTATTAATTTTTCATGGATATATTGTATGAAAAAGGAAGGTATTTCTTTACGGTAAAAAAGTTTAAATTGAGTATAATAAGTTTTATTATAAATAGTAAAGATTTAATAATAAGTTAATCATTTTAGAAAATGGTAGTTACAAATCTATTTTTTTTTTCCATTTTTATGATAAATTGATATTAATAATAAAATTAAGGTAAATGGTATATATAATTAATATTTAGATAAGAAAAATGATAATAACAATAATATAATAAAAAATAACAAATTTAATGAGAAAGAGTAAAATAGTATTTTTTTTAATGAGTTTGTCCTTAATTACAATAAATTAATAGTTCAGGAAAAAATATATCGTTCTTGGGGTTATTTGTAAAAGGGCAATAGTTCAGGGGGATTTTTTGCACTTTACCCCTTACTTTATTTATTTGTTAGACTAAACACACAAAAACATCAATAAATCAAGTAGTGGTCAGAATAATTATTCCAAAAACTAGTGAGAAACCTTTTTTAATTTTTATTTTTTATAACTGAGTTGAGATTGTACTTTGAGAAAAACATTCACGTGGAACTAAATGTATCCATGTAGATTAAAATAAAAAAGTATCTCCATTGTTTAGAAACTCGTGATGAAGAAAGTCAAAATCAATGATAAGAATACATAAAAAGAAACTAGGAAAAAAAAATGTATAAAAAGAAGTACTGCTAAACTATTTAATAGTAAGGGAACATGGGCGGAGGTGGAGAAGAGTATTGTGCGCCCAAGTTTGGTGGGAGAATGAAGTCCTCATGTCTTGGCGGTGGTGAATAAACTGTGTTAATAAGAGGAGGAGTTAAAGATCGTGCAGGTGTTGGTGCTGGTGGATGTGATTGAACTGAAGGTGGGATGGGAGATGGCTTAGGAGGAGATAAAACTGGTGGTAATGATTGAATTGGTGGTGAGACAGGAGATGGCTTAAGAGGTGTTGAAACTGGCGGATGCGATTGAGCCGATGGTGGGACTAAAGATGGTTTGGGAGGAGCTGAAACTGGTGTAGAACTTAGTGTTGGTGGATGCGATTGAGCTAGTGGTGGGACAAAAGATGGCTTTGGGGGAGCTAAAACTGGTGTAAAAGTTGGGGCTAGGACTGGAGATGGCTTAACGGGTTTAAAAGGAGTTAAAATTGGTGTCAAAATTGAAGTTGGGATTGGAGATGGATTAGGAGGTTTTTGAGGTGGAGAAATTTGTGTTTGAGTTAGAGTCTGGACTGGAGAATGTTTAGGAGGAACTGAAACTGGGGTATGAGTTGGAGCTGGTACTAGAGATGGCTTAGGAGGTTTTTGAGGTAGAGAAATTGGTGTTCGAATAGGGGTTGGGAAATGAGACGGTTTAGGAAGAGTTGAAACTATTGTATGAAATGGAGTTGGGACTAGAGATTGCTTAGGAGATTTCTGAGGTAGAAAAATTAGTGTTCGAGTAGGAGTTGGGACTGGAGACGCTCTAGGAGGTGCTAAAACTGATGTATGAGTCGGAATCGGAACTGGAAGTAGAGATGGCTTAGGAGGTTTCTGATGAGGATAAACCAGTGTTCGATTTGGAGTTGGGGCCGGGATAGGAAACTGCTTGGGAGGTATTTGTGGAGAACTTGGTGTTTTAATAGGAGCTAGAATCGAGGAAGGCTTAGGTTGTTTCTGTGGAGACTGAAGTGGTGTTTAAGTCAGAGAATGGTTGGGAAATGCTTTAGTAGGTTTAGGGGGAGTTGAAATGGGTATTTAAGTTGGAACTGAGTCAGGAGACTCTTTGACAGATTTTGGAGGAGCCGAAAATAGTGTTTGTGTCGGCACTGGGCTCGGAGATGCTTTGTTAGGTTTAAGAGGAGTCAAAACTGGTGTCAAAAGATGGAGGCGGGACAGGAGATAGCTTTGGTGTGTGACTTGGTGGACTAGAAGTGGGAGAAAGAGTACTATTAGTCTTTGACGGTGTCAGAGGAGGTGATGTTTGGGATGAAAGAGTTGGTGGAATTGATGTAGGGGGCTCAGATGTGAGAGATGAAGTATAACTCTTCGATGGTGTTAAATGAGGTGATGCTTGGTATGTTGGGGTTGGTGGAGTTGATGTTGAAGGTGTAGGAGGGGGTGATGCTTGGTATATAGGGGTTAGTGGAGTTGATGTTGGTGGCTTGGATGTGGAAGGTGGATTTTAACTTGATGGTATTGGAAGAAGTGATGTTTTAGATGTAGGGGTTGGTGGAGATGGTGTTGGTGGTTTTGATGTCGAAGGCGGATTGTAACTTGTTGATGGCGCAAGAGGAGGTGATGCTTGGGATGTAGGGGTTGGTGGCGTTGCTATTGATAATGTCGGATGAGGTGATGCTTGGAATGAGGGGGTTGGCGGAGTTAACATTGGGGGCTTGGATGTGGGGGGTGGAGAATAACTATTGGATGGTGTAGGAGGAGGTGATACTTGGTATATAGAGGTTGGTGGAGTTGATGTTGGTGGCTTTGATATGGGAGGTGGATTATAACTTGTTGATGGTGTCGGAGAAGGTGATGTTTGGGATGTAGGGGTAGGTGGAGTTGACATTGGTGGCTTTGATGTAAGAGGTGGATTATAACTTGTTGATGGTGCCAGAGGAGGTGATGCTTGGGATGTAGGGGTTGGTGGCGTTGATATTGATGGTGTCGGAGGAGGCGATGCTTGGGATGAAGGGGTTGGTGGAGTTGACGTTGGGGGCTTAGACATGGGAGGTAGAGAATAACTATTGGATGGTGTCGGAGGAGGTGATGCTTGGGATGTAGTGATTGGTGGAGTTGATGTTGATATTGTAGGAGGAGGTGATGATTGGAATGTATGGGTTGGTGGAGTTAAAGTTGGGGGCTTGGATGTGGGAGGTGGTGTATAACTGTTTAATGGTGTTGGAGGAGGTGATGTTTGGGATGTAGGTGTTGGTGGAGCTGATGTTGGTGGCTTTGATGTAGGTGGTGAAATATGACTTGTTGATGGTGTTGGAGGAGGTGATTCTTGGGATGTAGGGGTTGGTGGAATTGATATTGATGGTGTTGGAAGAGGTGATGCTTGGGATGTAGGGGTAGGTGGAGTTGATATGGAGGTGGATTATAACTATTTAATGGTGTCGGAGGAGGTGATGCTTAGGTTATTGGGGTTAGCGGTGTTGATGTTGGTGGGTTGGATGTTGGAGGTGGAGAATAAGTGTTATATTTATGAAGTGGTGGTGATGTTTTTTGTGAAAGGCTTAGCGGAGTTGATGTTGGTGGCTTGGAAATGGGGGTGAAATATAAGTTTTTCCTTCTTTTGATGGAGGGGATAATTTGGATGATTGGCTTAGTGGAGTTGGGGTGGGTGGTGGGGTATAACTCTTGGATGGGGTTGGAGGAGGTAATGTTTGGGATGTAGGGGATGGTAGAGTTGATGTTGGTGGAGTTGGTGTTGATGGTGTCAGAGGAGGTGATGATTGGGATATAGGGGTTGGCGGAGTTGATGGTGGTAGCTTGGATATGGGAGGTTGAATATAACTCTTTGATGGTGTTGGAGGAGGTGATGCTTTTCCGCACTTCCATTCACAGAGATCAGGGATTTCTGAAGTTAACCTATTATGAGTCAAGAACAAAACATTATATTTCTTGTCAAAGAGTTTTGCTGGAATTGGCCCTTCAAAATTGTTGTATCTGATGTCAATGTATACAAGGGAATGTAACTCGAGAAGAACATCTGGAAATGAACCCACAAAGCGGTTATTGCTGACATCAAGCTCTTCAAAATGTTGATGTTTAGAGAAACTATTTGGGATGATTCCACAAAACCAATTATAGTTGATGTGGAATATAGTGAGATCAGTCAAAAGCCCGAGCTCAACTGGAAGGTACCCAGCTATATCACCATGGTTAATATAAACACCCAAAACAACTATTAATTTGGGATTATCGTGTGTTGGTGTGCAAAGTATACCATTGTAAGCATACACATTCTCACTAACCCAATTGGCTGTTACATTATGCAGGTCAGAGTAAATAGCTTTTTTCCATGCTTGAAGAGCAATATAAGCTCTCTTGAGCCTTGAATTTGCGAAAGTCAGTTTAATCATGATTAGCTTAAATCTATTCATGTAAACAATTATGTTAATATAGTACGTACAAGGCAATATGACACATATAGTCATGCTTTCAAAAGTCAAAGTTCACAATGACATCAAAATAGCCACAAAATCATTCTACATCAAGAAGTAACCCTCATATATGGAAGGAAGGTGCATGAAAACACATATATGTATACTATGGTTATATCAATTTATTGACAATTGTCATCAATTAAACACTTTAAACATAAACAATTCATGGGTGAGCATTATAGTATCATTTAAGGACTATGTCTTCAATACATATATAGAAATCACTCACAACACTCACAATACATGCATAACACACATTATACCCCAAAACACAAAGAAATAACTAAGTTATAATCATAATACACTCCCTACCTCACTCTATGATAGCAAACCTAGAAATTCAAAATGAAGAATGGTCCAAATCCAAAACAAAACCAAGGATTTTGTTGCCACTGAAGTCCCCGACCTTTTTCCCTTCTATGGCAACACTGAAAGAGTAAAGGAAAGAGGTCAAAAAAGAAGAACAAGGCTTAAAGGAAATGGAACAAGAGATGAAAATGAGAGAGAAATAAACGTGAAAAGGGGATAGAGAAGGAGATGTTTGATATCTCACACATACACACACACCTAAATATCTAATACAAGCATCCAAAGTCAAAGTGACCCCACCAAAATCTAAAAAAAAACACTAAGGCAAAATAAATGCATATATGTGTATGGAATGCCCCAGAAATGTCATAAATGATAATATATGCCCCAATAGAACAAATGAAGTGTAAAAAACTATTCTCGAACACTTGACCTGGCCTGGGCCACGTAACCCGAAAACAAAAATAAAATAAAATAAATGCCAAAAAAATGAAAAAGGACACTGGTCCTCACAAACTTACCACTTGAGCCAACCCCTTGGGGTTAACTTTAATTTGAATATGTAACAGTTCAAAAGGTTCTATTTATTATCACACCTTTTACATTTATACAAGGAGAATGTATAATGTGTCTCCGTATTGAATTGGATTTGCACAAGGATATCCTAGAGAGTATTTCATTTCCTTTTGTTAACGAAATAATATTTTTAGAGAAAAAAACCATGTTTTAAAGAAGCGTACCTCTTTCTTATGAAAATGAAAATTTTAATCCCGAATCCCTATTACAGGTTACAACAATGAAAAACATACAACAACAAAAATAAAAAGAGTTAAAGTGCAAAAAACCCTACACTATAGATATAGTGCAAATACCCCATGTGTGGTATAAAACACCCATATACTTTTAATTTGGTGCAAATACCCCCTTGTCCACAAAGAAGACTATAATGACCTCTTGTCAGTAGAATAAAATAATATTTAAAAAACTAAGCAATGTAAAATGACCATACACCCCGTTCAGGGGGTCATTGTGCACAAAACTTACAATGCATGGATGTTTTTTGCACTTTACCCAAGAAAAAATTTATAATTGTGTTAATTAATATTATATAATATCATAGTGTAGTATGTAACAAATAATATAATTTATCTAATTTATGACTATTAATTTATTATAAGGGTTTGGATAATGATGTTGGCATAATAATGCATATGTAATTAATTAATGACATAATCTATATTTTACACAAAATTTATATGAAAAAATAACAAGGATGATAATTGTGACGATAAACATAATAAGTAACCTTTATATTTAGTTAGTATGTAAAATAAATTTTAGTAAATAATATATACATTATATTAAAAAAATATATTAATAATCATAGGTAATATAACACATTTTAAAAGAAGATAATAATGCACATAAATAATTTTGGTAGTATTAACTAATATTATATAATTTATTATATGAACATAAATATATTATTTGTCATACAAACTACACTATGATATTATATAATATTAATTAAGTTACGTTATTTATTATCATATTTAGACTATTTAGTTCTCTTACTTGCTTATAGAAAAAATATTATATAATGTTGTGCTAGAAAAGTGGAGCAGCAACAACAACAGTTAGAGGGGGAGAAAGAGAAAAGAGGTATATAGAAAATAGGTAGGAAGGGGGTTTTAATACATATATAATGTAGGGGGAAAATGGGATGGGAAAAAGACAAAAATGGGTTTTATGATTTATTTTACGTCAATTTTCGTCAAAAAGTAGTCAGAGAGGGTATTTGCATTTTAATATATATATATATATATAAGGGGTGATTTGCACATATTTTTTAAAAATAGGAACGAATAGTGCTCTTTTCAAAAGCAAGTGGTTTTCTGCACTTAACCTAAATAAAAATAAGGCTCAACCAAACCATGACCATTGTATGAAGGGAAAGAAAGAGAATCTCAATCAATAATTAATGAGTCTAGAATAGCTACCCAAGAAACAAATCACTAAAAGTACGAAGCTTGACCAATAATCTAATCACCCTAGAAACTTGTAGATCGTCCAAATTATTATTGCAACACATATTGCCAAACGAGCCTGGATAAAGACATGCACAACACCACTTATCTTTAGTATGCAACTTAACTATTTTGACGAGCAACACAATTAATCAGCGTGTGAAATATTGATGTTTAACCTTTAGTTAATCATGAGTAACGATATTCAGGCTCACTGTTAGGCTTATTTTTCGTAGTGAAACAATTAAGGTAATTGACTGCTTGAAATAGGACTACGTTTTAAGGCCCACTTCAAGCAATCAATGGCTTTCATTGTTTCACTTTAAAAAGTAGGTCTGCGAATCATTTTCCATTAATCATGATGCAACCTTGATTCAAATGTGTTGCGTGCTCAAAATAATTGAATTGTACCCTAAAAATAATTGTGCTACATCCATAAATATTGTGTTCCATGCTTGGAATAGATGTATTAGATACCATATAAGTTACACTTTTTTTCTTAAGTAAATGATCATCAGGTGCGACAAAAGTAAAGTGTTTGTCTTAGATTAAGAGAAATTAACCAAATCATAAGAAACTAAAACAAATTGTTTATTTACTTTAATTATTTGTTAGATTCAATACAAAAGATTTCGTTCTTATTGAAATTCAGTTCGTTCCTGTTGATAAACCTGAGCTAGTCCAGCCTGAGCCAAACATTTAGTCTGAATCCATACAACCTGAAACTGAGCCTTATACACCCAAGTCACAAGAGATGATAAAGGGAAAACAAATTCAAGACTCTACTTATCCACTACTGGTTTTTTCAAGAAGAAAGGCACCAATCACTCAATCTGTGTAGGTTCAATCACCCAAGTCAACCCCTGCTTTTGGACTTAGCGAGGTAATTACTAAACCTATTTCTAATGAATATGGTGTTATTGTAGTTCTTGATCAAAGTGATTATGATATTCTCATTGCTATTAGAAAGAAAACTGGAGCATGCACCAAACACCCTCTGTGTTTATTCATGTCATACAAGAATCTGTCCCATAACCACAATGATTCTTGTATGACATGGAGCATGCACCAAACACCCTCTGTAGTTATGGGACAGATTCTTGTATGACATGAATAAGCACAGAGGGTGTTTGGTGCATGCTCCAGTTTTCTTTCTAATAGCAATAAGAATATCATAATCACTTTGATCAAGAACTACAGTAAAGCCTTTCTCACAAGCCTAAACATAATCTCCATTCCCAAAATGATATCCGAGGCATTAGGTAATAAGAATTGGAAGAATGCCATGAAGGTCAAAATAGAAGCACTTGAGAAGAACAAGACATGGGACTCGGTGAAATTGCTGAGAGGGAAGAAACAGGTGGGATGTAGATGGGTATTCACTGTGAAATACAAGTCAGATAGTTCGTTGGAGAGGTACAAAGCAAGGTTAGTTGCTAAAGGCTATACCCAAATGTATGGAATAGATTATCTTGAGACATTTGCTCTTGTTGCTAAGATGAACACCGTTAGAGTGTTGTTGTCATTAGCTGCTAATCTGGGCTGGAAATTACAGCAATTCAATGTCAAAAATGCCTTTTTACATGGTGATCTTAAGGAGGAGGTTTATATGGAAGTTCCATCGGGGTTTGGTTCGAATACAGGACAGGTGGTATGCAGGTTAAGAAAGGCATTGTACGGATTAAAACAGTCTCCAAGAGCTTGGTTTGGAAGGTTTGCCAAGGTAATGCTCGATATGGGATACAAATAAAGCCAAGGCGATCACACCTTGTTTGTAAATCACTCGGCTTCAAGGGGAGTGACTGCATTGTTAGTTTATGTAGATGACATTATAATGATAGGTGATGATTTGGAAGGAATGGAGAATTTAAAGAAGTGTTTAGTGAAAGAATTCGAAATCAAAGAGCTCGGCAAACTAAAGTATTTTCTCGGCATTGAGGTAGCACATTCTCGAGAAGGAATTTTCATATCTCAGCAAAAATATGTAACATATTTGCTGATGGAAATAGGCAAGTTAGGTTACAGACTAGCAGAGACACCTATAGAGTTCCACCACAGGCTTGGAGATGCTCTGGAAGACACAGCAGTAGATAAAGGCTCCTATCAGAGACTTGTGGTAAGGCTTATCTACTTGTCACACATTAGACCAGACATAGCCTATACAGTTAGTGTTGTAAGTCAATTTATGCACAATCCCAAAGAGTCACATCTTAGGGCTGTGTATCGAATCCTACTGTACTTAAAAAGCACACCGGGCAAAGGAATTCTATTTAAGAAGGGGGAAGAGCTAACTCTTGAAGCCTACACTGATGCAGATTATGCAGGGTTTGTAATTGACAAGAGATCTACCTCGGGTTATTACACTTTTCTAGGAGGCAACCTTGTGACTTGGAGGTGTGAAAAATAGAATGTTCTGGCAAGATCCAGTGAAGAAGCCGAGTTTAGAGCAATGGCACTTGGGATTTGTGAATTATTATGGTTGAAAATTGTCTTAGAAGATTTAAGAGTCAAGTGGGAAGGTCCAATGAAGCTTTATTGTGACAATAAGTCAGCCATTAATATTGCATATTGATCGGTCTCGTCGACTATTAATAGTAATCAACCCTTTGCAACAGCATAAATCATTGTAAAATAGGGCTATTGGACGGGTAAGTCGAACCACTGAGATTGCTAGTTTATGACAACCAAGATTGTAAAATCACTTTTAGTTTGATGAAATGGGGGTATAAGAGTTGGTTTTATTTGTCACTTCAAAATAGGGATTGAAGAATGCATAAAACAATAATTGCAAGGAAATTAAGATGAAAGAAATTTAGGTAGAGAGGACTAGGGAGTTGAATCCACTACCTACCCTATAAACATGCTAGATTATGATTAACTTGGGGAAACAACATATATAAGTGGCCACGAAATGTAGTTACACATGGTTGCTACATTACCTTTAAGAAATTCATGAAATCAATGGCAAGAATAACCTATCAAAGTTATACATGTTTAAACTACCTAAACTAGGTTGTAGCCTTAGATGTGCTTACTAAGCTAGAGATTATCAAACCTTTAATCAAATGATAAGAGAACATGAAGTTAAAAACCACGCATAGTCTATCAAAGAAAGGCCCTAAGCTATGGACTATCAAATTTCCTAAACAACGTGCCATTAAACCATTCCACAATCTCATTTCTATTGTCACTATGAAAATGCAAGCCATATGATCATGAGAGAAAACAATCTAAGACAAGATAATAAACTCAAAATGATCATTTATAAACATTAATATCCATTACAATATGTGTATAGTTTAAGATTATGGAAAGACCAAATATATACATCATTCCCCGAAAATAAACCAAAGCTAAGGCATGCTTACAAGGGAGGGCTTCATCGCCTCCCAGAAAGGGAGTTAGTTACCCATGGATGCAAATGAGGAAGGAGAAGAAGTAGTCTTCACCTCCATTTTCGCACTTAGGAGCTCTAAGACACACAAACACTCAAGCTCACAATATTTCTTTCTCTAGAACCTTACAAAATGTGATATATCTCTATTATATTGAATTAAGCCCTTAATGATGAACCATAGCCATCCAACAACTCCATTTTTGTGGCCCAAAACTCCTAGACAAGTGCAGAGCAATCCCCCCAATTAAGGTGATAACATTAGGTGAGAAAAGGAGGCCCATGCTTTAATGTCTGCAGATTGGCGGGCGATGATGCTACTGCCAGATTTGGCGGGCGCCCGCGGCTTCATGAGCCCATTGCCCACAACTTTCTTACGGGCGCCCGCAGGTTGTCCTCAGCTCTGCGTACCTTTGGTAAAAATGCCATAACTTTCTGTTCTAAACTCCAAATGATAAACCGTTTGATGATTTCGAAAGATAACTCAAAGATCTAAGTATATCATGTTTTAATAAAAGTCTAATTCTTAAGTGTGGTGGGTCAAAAATAAAGAACAAAGTCAAACTTCGCTGTTGCCAGGCTATAAATTTCAGCATTGCACACCTGGGGTAAAAATGGCATAACTCTTTAGATACAAATCTAATTGAGGCAAACTTTATGTCTATGGAAAGCCGACGAACTGGTCTTGGACAAAATGAAGGTCCCCGGCAACGACATGCTCTGATTTTTCAACAACTCAACAAAGCCGCACTTTTAACTATCTTTGGGGAACCAACCTGAAAGTAAACAAAAACACGCATATGAAGCTAATATGTACAATATGATCAACTAATGGACTTAAGTAATGCAAATAAGGGCGCTTGAATATGCAATATTCGGCGTTTATCACACATAATCCAGTACAACACGACCGTACGTAGCACATTGAAGTTGACAGGCACTTTATAAAGGAGAAGCTTGACAATGGCCTAATTTTCACTCTATTCGTTTCCACTAGTGATCAACTTGCAGACATACTCACCAAAGGATTGTTTGGGACGTTTTTTCAGAGACTAACAAGCAAGCTTAGAATGGATGATATCAATTTACCAGCTTGAGGGGGAGTGTGGAAAATTCAGTTCTATAAATAAGGAAATCGTGTGTGTATAGCTGTAGTTAGCTAAGGAAACCGTGTGTGTATAGCTGTAATTAGCTAAGAGATTTTGTAATGTTTTAGTCATTGTAATCCCTGATTTTAGGGAATTAGTTTTTGGTCAATATCTCTAGGATTAGACAGTTTCCTAGTTTTAGAGTTTTCTAATTTAGAACCACTGAAGTGTATTTAATAGTGTAATTTCATTGTGATTTCAATACAATTGAATTTTAGCCCAATTTGTGTCAAATATCAACAAATAAAGTAATGGTGAAATAAGTATTATAAAAATTAGTATGAAACTAATTTTTTTTCTAAGTTGACATTGTAAGTTGACATTGTACTTTAACCAAAATAAATCATGTGTAACATATTATTGGAAATTGAATCCTGTATAGGTTACAATGTTGATTAAAAAAAATGTCTATTGTCTAGAACTAATGTAAAAGAGTAAGTTTGAACATAAACTTAGAAGTCAAAATCAATGGTACCAATACATGAAAAAAGAAGTTAATGGTAAACTATTTAATAGCCTTGGAACATTGGTGGAGGTGGGGAAGAGTATTGCAACCCCAAGTTTGGTGGGAGAATGAAGTCCTCGTGTTTTGGTGGTGGTGTAGAAATCACATGAGTTAGAGGAGGAATTAAAGATCGTGTGGGTGTTGGTGCTTGCAGGTGAGATTGAACCGTGGGTGGTCTGGACGTTGGTAGTGGTGGATGTGATTGAACTGATGGTGTGACAAGAGATTGCTTAGGAGGGGCTAAAACTGGTGTAGAAGATGGTGTTGTTGCATGCGATTGAACTGATGGTAGGAAATGAGATGGCTTAGGAGGAACTAAAATTGGTGTAGAAGTTGGAGCTGGGGTTAGAGATGGCTTTGTGGGTTTAGGAGGAGTCGAAATTAGTGTCAAAACTGGAGTTGGGACTTGAGATGGCTTAGAAGGTTTTTGAGTTGTAGATATTGGTGTTTGAGTTGGAGTCAGGGCTGGAGAGTGTTTAGGAGGAGTTGAAACTGGGGTATGAGTTGGACCCAGGATTGGAGATGGCTTAAAAGGTTTTTGAGGTGGAGAAATTGGTGTTTGAGTTGGAGTTGGGACTGGTGAGTGTTTAGAAGGAGCTGAAATAGGGGCATGAGTTGGAGCAAGGATTGGAGATGGCTTAGGAAGTTTCTGAAGTGGAGAAATTGGTGTTTGAGTATGACTTGGGATAGGAAATGGTTTAGGAGGTGTTGAAACTGGAGTATGAGTAGGAGCTGGGACTGGAGATGGCTTAGAAGGCTTCTGAGAAGGGTAAACCGGTGATTGAGCTGGGGTCAAGATAGGAGATTGCTTAGGAGGTTTCCGTGGAGAACTTGGTGAATTAGCAGGAGCATGAATTGGGGATGGTTTAGGAGGTTTCTGTGAAGGCTGAATTGGTGTTCGAGTCAAAGATGGGCTTGGAGATGTTGTAGCAGGTTTAGGGGGAGCTGAAACAATTGTTCGAGTCGAAGCTGGGCCTGAAGATACTTTTCCAGGTTTAGGTGGAGCCAAAAATGCTATTTGAGTTAGAATTGGGCCTGAAGATGCTTTACTAGGTTTAGGAGGAGCTGAAACTAGTGTTCGTGTTGGAGCTGGGATCAGAGATGGTTTGTTAGGTTTACGAGGAGTCGAAACTGGTGTTAGTGTCGGAGCTGGGCCTAGAAATGCCTTGCCAAGTTTTGGTGGAGTCAAAATTGGTGTTTGTGTCGGAGTTGGCCCTGGAGATACTTTACTAGGTTTAGGAGGAGTTAAAATTGGTGTCAAAGATGGAGTTAAGATAGGAAATGGCGTTGGTGTGTAACTTAATGGACTAGAAGTAGGAGGATGAGTATAAGTCTTTGACGGTGTTGGAGGAGGTGATACTTTGGAAGAAGGAGTTGGTGGAGTTGATGTTGGGGGCTTAGATGTGGGAGGTGGAGTATAACTCTTTGATGGTGTAGGGGTTGATGGATTTGATTGTGGTGGAGTTGATGTTGAAGGTGTTGGCAATGGTGATGCTTGGTATATAGGGGTTGGTGGAGTTGATGTTGGTGGATTTAATGTATGAGGTGGTTTATAACTTGTTGATGGTTTTGGAGGAGGTATTGTTTGGGATGTTGGGGTTAGTGGAGTTGATGTTGATGGAGTCGGAGGAGGTGATGCTTGGGATGTAGGGGTTGGTGGAGTTGATTTTGGTGGCTTTGATGTGGGAGGTGTATTATAACCAGTTGATAGTATTAGCAGGAGGTGTTGCTTAGGATGTAGGGGTTAGTGGAGTTAATGTTGGTTGCGTTGATATTGGAGGTGGATTATAACTCGTTGTTGGTTTCGGAGGAGGTGATGCTTGGGATGTTGGGCTTGGTGGAGTTGATATAGGAGGAGGTTTATAACTTGTTGAAGGTGTCGTAGGAGGTGATGTTTGGGATGTAGGGGTTGGCGGAGGTGATGCTGGGGGCCTTAGATGTGGGAAGTGGAGTATAACTATTTGATGGTATTGGAGGAGGTAATGCTTGGGATGTAGGGGTTGGTGTCGGTGGTGTTGGAGGAGATAATGATTGGGAGGCAGGGGTTGGTGGAGTTGAAGTTGAGGGCTCAGATGTAGGAAGTGGAGTATAACCCTTTGATGGTGTTGGAAGAGGTGATACTTGGGATGTAGGGATTGGTGGAGTTGAAGTTGGTGGCTTTGATGTGGGAGGTGGATTATAACTTGTTGATGGTGTTGGAGGAGGTGCCGTTTGGGATGTAGGGATTAGTGGAGTTGATGTTGGTGGCTTTGATGTGGGAGGTAGATTATAATTTGTTGTTGGTTTCAGAGGAGATGATACTGGGGATGGTGGAGTTGATCTTTGTGGCATTGATGTGGGAGGATGATTATAACTTGTTGAAGTGTCGAAGGAGGTGATGCTCTGAATGTAAGGGTTGGCGGAGTTGATGTTGGGGGCTTAGATGTGAGAGGTGCAGTATAACTATTTGATGGTGTTGGAGGAGGTGATGCTTAGGATGTATGAGTTGGTGTTGGTGTTAGAGAAGGTAATGATTGGGATGTAGGGGTTGGTGGAGTTGAAGTTGGGGGCTTGGATGTAGAAGGTGGAGTATAGCCATTTAATGGGGTCAGTGGAGGTGATGCTTGGGACATAGGGGTTGGTGAAGTTGATGTTTTTGGGGTCGGAGGAGGTGAATTTTGGGATAAAGGTGTTGGTGGAGTTGATGTTGGTGGCTTGGATGTAGGAGGTGGAGAATAAGTGTTATATTCTTGAGGAGGAGGTGATGGTTGTTGTGATGGGCTTGGTGGAGTTAAAGTTGGTGGCTTGGAAATAGGAGGTGCGATCTATGTTTTTCCTTCTTCTAGTGGACGCAATACTTTGGATGATGGGCTTGGTGGAGTTGAAGTAGGTGGCTGTGTATAATTGTTGGATGGGGTAGGGGGAGGTGAGGCTTGGGATGAAGGTGTTGGTGGTGTTGATGATGGAGGCTTGGATGTTGGAGGTGGATTATAACTCATTGATGGTGCCGCAGGAGGTGACGTTTGGGATGTAAGGTTGGCGGAGTCGATGTTGATGGTGTCGGAGGAGGTGATGCTTGGTATGAAGGGGTTGGCGGAGTTGATGTGGGAGGTGGAGTATAACTCTTTGATGGCGTTAGAGGAGGTGATGCTTTTCCACACTTCCATTCACAGAGATCAGGGATTTTCTGAAGTGAACCTATTGTGAGTCAAGAGCAAAACATCATAATTCTTGTCAAAGAGTTTTGCTGGAATTAGCCCTTCGAAATTGTTGTATCTGATGTCAATGTAAACAAGTGAATGCAACTTGAGAAGAACATCTGGAAATGAACCGACGAAGCGGTTATTGCTGACATCAAGCTCTTCCAAATGTTGAAGTTTAGAGAAACTATTCGGGATGATTCCACAAAACCGATTAGAGTTGATGTGGAATGTAGTGAGATCAGTCAAAAGCCCAAGCTCAACTGGAAGGTACCCAGCTATATCACTATGGTTAAGATAAACACCAGAAACAACTGTTAATTTGGGATCATCGCGTGTTGGTGTGCAAAGTATACCATTGTAAGCAAACACATTCTCACCAACCCAATTGGCTGTTACATTATAGGGGTCAGAGTAGATAGCTTTTTCCATGCTTGAAGAGCAATATAAGCTCTCTTGAGCCTTGAATTTGCAAAAGTCCGTTTAATATCAATGTCATATCCAACCCCATCGGGAAGATCATTGTTTTGAGAAAGACTCAAAAGTTGCCGATGAGCAATATAGGATGCCTCGGCATCAGTTAAGGCCAAAGAGAAGGACGAGAAAGAAAAGAACAGAAGGGTGAAGATAAGAAAGTCGGCTGAGACTTTCATGTTTTGATGGTTTGCAATACCAAACTACTACCTTGGATTGGTCCAAGGCTTCTTGCAATCATCTATGCCTCTGCTGGAGGGTCTTATAGGATATGGAGGAAGGAAGTCTTTTGATTGCACCCTCTATTTTTAGCCCCTGAATGCATGGGACTATAATGTACAGTAGAAAATTTTAAAGCGCCTATAATTTTAGGGGCTAAAATTTTGGAGTGATTCGGTTTAGTTTGGTGCGCTTGAATTAGTTATGTATAACAAAGCTAGCTACAAGTTAAAGCACAACCTTAATTTAAACATTCTTTAGCTAGCAGTGACATTTTGGAAGATATGTTAACTTATATATTTGGGTAAAGTACATAGACACCCCCTGAGGTTTGGGTTAAAGACAGACAGATGAAACTTAGCTTATTTTGGGACAAAGACACCCCCTTAAGTTTGATACAGTAACCAAAGACACCTCAATGGTAATGAATTGACATTTTTGCCCTTTAACTTTTATATTGACCCATGTGAATATTGAAATTACCTTTCTAACCTCTATATTTTTAGATATATAAATATATATTTATTTATTTATTTATCTCTCAATAATTTTTATATACACATACATATAATCAACGGAGAAGACGGCGCGTCCTTTACCTCGATGCCGACGGTGGCCTGCTCCTCGCCGGCTCATGATTCTTGTACAGAGCTTCGACGAGTCCATGGCAGAGAGCTCCGCCGACGGCCGTGGCCCACTCTTCGCCGACGCATGATCTTCTACAGAGCTCTGGCTATTCCATTGCTGAGAGCTTTGTCGACTCTAGATCTGCAGCCCACTTTCACAGTTGCTGCATTCACCTCATCGGCAACTATGGGCTCCATGGATTTCACCGACCCTATCGATTCCGGCAGCGATCTGCAGATTGTCCTCACCGGCGAATCGTTCTGCATAGTTCAATATCATTGAAAATTAATACCTAACAAAATAAATAATTGAACAAAATACAAATTAAGAACAGTCTAAGATCACTACACAAATTACAAAATAATAATAATAAATAAAAAATAAAAACAGAGGGCACACCGTTGAAGATAAGAGTTTTGATTTTGGAATAGAGATGAGGATCCTGTTGGCCGGATTTTTTTGTGACTTACCGGAGTTCAAAATCGCCAGTTAGCTGTTAAAGTCACCTTCACGAAAGAGAGAGAGAGCGCAGCTTGGCAGCGACGTTATGGTGGCCGACAATATGCAGCGACGTTATGGTGGCCGACAATATGCAGCGACGACGGCGACAATATCCATTCACCATCGTCGCACTTATCTCAGCTGGTGGCCGGCAATATGCAGCGACGACGGCGACAATATCCATTCACCATCGTCGCACTTATCTCATCGGTGACTATGGTGCTCTATGGGTCAATGGAATTGAAGGCGGGCCGCGGATCTAGAGTCGGCCTCGTCGGATTCAAAAGATCTAGAGTCGACAAAGCTCTCTGCAATGGAATAGCCGAAGCTTTGTAGAACATCATGAATCGGCGAGGAGTGGGCCACGACCGTCGGTGGAGCTCTCTGCCATGAACTCGTCGAAGCTTTGTACAAGAATCATGAGCCGGCGAGGAGTAGGCCACCGTCGGCACCGAGGTAACGGACGCGTCGTCTTCTTCGTTGATTATATATATGCGTATATACAAATTATTAAGAGATAAATATATATATATAGAGAGAGAGGTTAGAAAGGTAATTTTAATATTCACATGGGTCAATATAAAAGTCAAAGGGCAAAAATGTCAATTCATTACCATTAGGGTGTCTTTGGTTATTAGGCTAAGTTTCATCTGCCTGTCTTTACTCCAAACCTCACGGGGTGTCTATGTACTTTATCCTATATATTTTTATGAACTCTGTTTCATTCTTCTTCTCCTTTTTTTTTTTTTTTACACCTTTGTTTTTAGTTTTCATTTACCACATTGAATTTGGCCCCAGTTTGGGACACAATAAAACATGTTTTATAATATATAGAAGATCAAGGTTTTTTCTTAGAACCCGAAAATATATAAGATTCATGTACATATGTATATTTTTTATTTCAAGCGTATGATCCTCTCTGTATATTTTACCAAGAATTTTGTAAATTCTGTATAATGTAACCGCTGACAAGTTTTATATACTTCGAAAGCATTTGGAGAATATTGTTGAAATTGCAATTTCTGAAAGTAGAGAAACTCAGATGTAGATTAAGAGGTGTGGAAAGTTGAAAGAGGCACAGGTTCTATAGATATATATATATATATATATATATATATATATATATATATATATTGAGTTTTACAATACTCATGCTGATCAAACCATTAATGATAAGCTAATCGCAACAAGATGTGTTTCAAATCTTTGAAAATCAAAATAAATTATTGAAAAAATGTAGCTTTGGGAGAACCTTCGCTGCACCCAGGAATAGAAGTTGATTAATTTAGAGGATTTCAGTTCTAAAATATTTTGCTGTAATTTCAAGTTTGAAGTTTCAAATCAATATATTTTTGACTTCTCATATCGGATGCAGAGAGTAGTTCACTTATATTGGAGATTCCTTCTCTGTGTACAGGATTTAAAAATCGTAAACACCAAAATGGTGCAAAGTTGGGACATTAAAATAAAATTAAATTAAATTAAATCGAACCTTAAAATGAGGAAGGCATGTCATTTGGGTGGCCAGGTAGGGTGCACACTGTCCGGTTTTCCTGCCTAAATCAAAATCGAACAATCCTCAACGATTCTTAGCAACTGGAATCAGAACCTGAACCATTAAAGATCTATTCGGTTTGGTTCCACAGTTCTATTTTAAAACTGTTTACTTATATATATCTATATATTAAAAACAAAATGCCAATCACATGGCTTATGGCTACCATTTATACCAAGGCAAATACTTTACATAACAACTAGGCAATACTACTCCTCAATCAGAGGAACGTGAATGATGAAGCAGATTAGTAATATGAGAAATATTACTCCTCAATCAGAGGAACATGAATGATGAAGCAGATTAGTAATATGAGAAATTGAGTGAATGAGTGAGAGAGAGAGAAATACCGACTGCAAATAACGGTATCTCTGGCTCTGGATGACGGCGAACGATGGACAGTGGGAGGCGTGTACTGTGAGAGAGAGATCCAAGGTTACTACAACTTTACTTACAGAACAGAGAGGAGAGAATAACGAAGAAGAATAGTCGAAGAGATGATGTCTCTCTGAGATTCTGTCAGTCAAATGTCTCGTGACTTGGACATAAGGGTGTTTTGAGAAAATATCTTTTTGAATTAGAATTGCAGCTGTAAACAACTCACAACTAATTAGTATCTGTTCTGTCATACCATATACGGAGTATATAATTACATTATGATTGGGTTTTAAAAGATTTACAGAAACGATTATTTGTGCACCTCTCTCTAATTAAGCATATCACAATCATTGGTATGTCCCACTCCCCTAATATTATTTTCTTTGGTAAGAAAAAGATTAAAAATCACAAAATTGACCCTTGTGACCATTAACACCAAACAATTGTAATTGGGTTAAACCTAAAACCCTGTGCTATTTCGTCATTTCTCCATCCAAATGAGTACTGCTCTTACCATTCGCACGAGCTCCCGCTCTTGTATTCTGCACATTCTTACTCTCAATCCAGTTTCGTGATTTCAATGTAGCCGCTTTCGTGCCCCCGCCGCTTCCGCACCCGCCCCATGTGAAACATGGATGCTCTAATGTGCTGTAGTTTCATACCATGATGTCTTGTCTTGTGCTCATCGTGTGCCTTTACTATGGGTATACAAAGAACCTGTTGAGTTTCGGTTCGATTCCAAATGTTGGAAACATTGAGTCCCGGTTCCAGGGTCTTTAAATGGAACCATTTTAATAATAGTATATGTCATTTTTTTAATTATATAATTACTATTATATATGCTTATATTTACCATATATATATATATATATATACACACCTTGTTGACTAAGGCAATAACTTACAAGCATCTATAGATATATGTGTATATATATATATATATATATATAACAGTTTGATGCCGATTTCATGTCACAACGATTTCGGTTTCGGTTCCAGGAACGATTCTGGTTCCAGTTTATCGCCGGGAATAGTACTGAACCGGACCGTGTGCACCCGTGACCTTTACATCATTATCTCAAGCCTTTCCTCCATCCAAAGTGGAAACATGGATCCTCTTCTCTTATGCGTCGTTTCATGTTATGCTGCATCTCGTGCCTTCACATCGTTATCTTGTTCTTTTACTGACGAGGAAGCCACAAGATCCAAATCTCTAGATCTCTCTTTCTATTGATACTTTCTCTCCTTCATATTTCACCACGGTGCCAATCACATACCACAAATTTCAAGAATTCAAGATTTCTTCACGGGATTAATTGTTGAATCAAAAAAAGCTTTGGTACCTTGCCCGTCCCGCCATGTTCACATCCGTTTGGTCAATCCTCTCAGTGCCATGCCATCACTCTGGTATTCGCAAAATGGGGTACTTGGTTCTTCATGTGCTATGTACATTGATATGGATATCCAATTTGAGAATTGATATGGATAAAATTGACAGTCACAAGCATTCCAAAATATAATGAAACAAAACAATAAACAAATGTACTCAATCCCAGCAAAAAATAAGATAATATTTTGACTTTACACCACAACCCCAAAAGACAATAACAAACACAAAAGATGCTCTCTTTTTGGCTCCGGATCGACACTTGTATTAATTGGACAAAGAAAACTCTAC